CACATTATAAAGCCCCCACGGCTAAAACGGCGAGCATATTTGGTGTGACGGGGATTCGCAGATTGCGAGTTGAGCGCCCTAACCACTTGGTCATGCCGGGCCATCCATCCACTTCGGAAAATTGAGCGTTGTGTGTCTGTAATGTTACCGTTGTTCCACCGAGGACCTTCGATAAGTGAATAGAAAGAAATCATTTATTGAGCTATGCTATAAATTAGACAAAAATAATTGTTTTGTCAATAAGATAGCTGTCTATAGGCCTTAGAAGCACCCAGGGACTCCCACTGTGAGAGGTGGCAGGAGGAGAAACTGAAGGGGTAATCACCCCCTCCAAAGAGGATTAGAAGAACATGAAAATAAATTGCCAGTTTTTACTGTGTATACCGTAAAGATATAATCCGATCCGACACCAAACCACATATTATTCCATTTTCACTTGAGAAAAGTCCAAGAGATTCCTAGAATCGTATGAATTCCCCCACCCAATATTAAATGGCGTTGTTGAAAGCACTTAAACTTGAAAAGCACAAGGCCCTATAAGTAACATATAATGATTAGAGTCGGTACCTTTTTATTTTTTGTATTCCAGTTTTAGCTGAAACTTGTATTTCTTTTTCAGCAGGATTTTCATTTCTATACCTTTTTATTCCAATGTAAATATTTTTGTTCGGGATGCACTTTCCGAGCTTTTTTTTTGTTTTGTTTTGGCGAAAAATTTTAATGGATGACTGAGTTAAGATTAGAAACAACTGTTCTCTTCTCATAGTCTTTATAATTAGTTATTATACAAATAGCTGGTATTGAATGAAAGGCCTGCTGGGCCTTGATGTGTGGCAGCCTTTGGCATTTTCACGTTCCTCTGATTCTCAGTCCATATACTCTACTTGTAGGGAATGTGATAAAATATATCTGTAGTCAGACGTGACTGTAGTCACTTTACTTAGCCTTAAAAATTCTACTTTCTTTACCAGCTTAAACGTTTTACACTACTACAGTGTACGTGCCCCTCCCCCCAGTAGCACAGCAGTATGTCTGCGGACTTACAACGCTAGAAACCGAGTTTCGATACCCGTGGTGGGCAGAGCTCAGATAGCCCATTGTGTAGCTTTGTGCTTAATTTCGAACAAACAAACAGTGTATGTATTGTCTACTGTACAAAAGATTCAAACTAAGACTTGTGGAGGTCCATATCTTTAATTAGGTCTTAGCTAGAAATATTATTGATAAGCACTAGAATAGGAAGAAAATGTAATTTTTGATTAAATCCTTAAAAAATGCTATATTATTGCGCATGAAAAAGAACCACCATGTTGTTTAGTTTCTAGTTTAAAGTAACTCAAAATATCCAGTAAATTTATTTTATATCTTATGATTAAGCCCTAAACAGGTTTTAGTTTTCATTTAAAACAACGATTATCAACAAGTATAGGTGCGATTAGTTAGAATTTCCATTCATAAATGTTTCATAGTTTAAAAACTTATTGATTTTATGTTTGAAATCGGCTATTGTGTAAATGATAAGGTGTAACAACACAATCAGCCGGGAGTGGCCTACTGATTATCGTAGCCGGATTGTTAATCCGAAGGTTGACGGTATGTGTCCCGTTGGCTGCTACAAACACGCGCATTGAGGTCGTGGGTGCGCAACAAAAATGAAAATTAAATCCCACTTTTCTGTCAAAACAAAAGTAACCCAATAGTTGGTGGTGGGTGCTGTTGACTAGCTACTTTTTCTCTATTCTATCATTTAAAAATTATAGTGCTGTTTTTGTGTTTTAGTGCAAAGTTACACAATGAGCTATTTGAACTCTATCCAATCGAACCTGTTTTAAGTCTATAAACTTACCGCTGACACACCGGAGGATCAAAATTAGAGACAGGTACTCCTTGTGTAGATTTGCATGAAAACTTAAATAAACTAACATTCTATATCTATGCACATTCTTGAAATCAAAACTCGCCGTCTAAACCGCAACCTAAACTTGAGTTGGAACCTGAACTTCTGGTTAAATCTAACACGTGGATCTAACTGCACTCGCGACTAAAACTTCTAAATTTTGTAAGTTAAAAAGAAGAAGAAATTTATATACATACTTTAGATTTTTGAGGTCATTCAAATCGTTTTGACTTTTAAAATTTTTCTCATCATCTTTACACGTGCTTCCCTAGCCCGTAAACGTCATCATCATATTGGTGAAAATACACAAGCGCCCGTAAACGTCATCATATTGGTGAAAACACAACGTGCTCAGACAGGATGGCTTCAGAGACGCGCTCATTGGCTATTCTGCTCTGCCAGTGGCGTGATGTCACGGAGATAAACAAACTTACACTCTACACTGTTGAGCAAAGTACGTTAAGCGTGTGTAGTGTGAACTTCGGGCGTAAAGTTGTATAGACTGGAAGGCTAATCACCTACAACAACTAAGACATCGCCAAAGGCAGAGTTTGACAACTTTTGTTTTATTATTACTAAGAAATGGCAGGTAGGAAGACTTGAGTTTCTTTCATAATAGAAAGGCGAAAGCTATAAAAAAAACGGTTTGTTTTGTTTTTTTAACTTGAGCATTGTGTCAACCGAATGTTTTTTTCTCCACTTTACTACTCTTTAGTGCCTTAACCCTGGTTGGAAAATGATTTGATATTTGTGTCATTTTTACTTAAGGGTAATAAACCTATTATGAAATATTACAGTAATAGAACACGCTGTGCTGAGTAAACCGCTGAAATATAAAATAATTGTTAAAACGAAAGTATGATATGTGTATTTTTTAAGAAATTAGTAAATTATGAAAAGGTAAAGCTGTAATAATGTTTTTTTTTCAGCACATAAATAATTGCAATGCGACTATTAAGAACTATCGGGACTTTTCAAAACAAATGTAATTATTGATTAGTAGCCTATACGATCACCCGAATAAAATTATTTGTCAGACTCTCTAAGATTACGAAGACCCAGGATCGAATCCTGTCTGCTACTACCACACAAATAGCTCTTCCTAGAATTTTTCGGAAGACGGTAGCAGATTAGCAGTCGAAACGTAGGATAAAAACTAGATATTATTATCTATTATATTAGTATCTATTAGTTAAATATATATGTATGTATATTAGTAAGTAAGTAATAATTAGACTAAGGTGATCTTCTAGGCTAACCATGACAACGATTGGTGCTCATCGCCACAACCTTACTGCAGATTCGGTTATGTAACATTAGGAAATTTGTTTCAGTCGATTTTACTTGTCCCAGGTTAGTCTTAGACAAAAAATTCAGGTTCTAGGTTTGAGTTCACGTGCCTGTTAATGTAGAAAAAAAGAGCTTGAATTTTAGGCAAAGTTTCGCCTATGGTAAGAAAATAATTAGAAGTAACCATGATTTAGTTTGTTTATTTGTTTTTTACTTTGCCTAAATGTTATCACCTCACCTACAAAAGAACACCTACAGAACTCACCTACTTTCTTTCTTTTGTATTTTGTAGTTCTAGAAAGTAAGAACATTATCAAAACGTTTGTGTAACAGTCATAATTCCATTACAACGAATCTTATGGTTGGAGAAACTGGTTGCAACACCATGAAAGTTGTAAAAACTTGTGAAATTATTATCTGTTATTGTTATTGCAGAAATGGAAGGGTTTGAGTATCAGCCAAATTCTGAAGATCAATTTTTTTTCTCAGTTATAGGATACAATAAGTTTTCTCTAAGTGATAAAGATTATGAATTATTACACTATTGATTTTGGGTAGTATTTTTTCATACTTTTAAGCTTAATCGTTAACTTTACAAGCAAATTCGCCCATTTACTTTTCTTTTTGTGTTTTTTTTTTCTACCTTAATTTTTAAGTTTCACTGTAACTCTATGAATTTCCTTTTTTTATTATTATTATCCTGAATTGAAAAACTCTCTTAGAATAATTTCTGACTTTTGTCCGATGGCTCACGTGATTTTCGGGAATGGTTCACGAAATGAGCCGGTCCAGCCTCGAAGACAAAGAAACCTTAGGAAACAAAATAAGACTTTGAAAATACTCGCAGAAAATATGCTACATATCTATCTATCTTAACCGTATTATTAAAAATCAGTGTTTGCTAAATACGGAAAAATTATTTACACTTGACTAAATAATTAACAGTGCATGCAGGATTATCACACAAACTAATCAGAAGACTTGACACTTAATTTTCTGCTATGAGCATGCGCGCGTGTGTGTATGTATGTATATATATTAAGGAACTGCACGTGTATTCACGTATTTTACTACGTATTAATATAGCTTAGAGCAGTATACTTGTAAAACAAACAGTAAGGTTAAAGACATTTGATTTAAATAGACTGCTCCTGTCTGTTTCAAACGTGGGACAACGTTTCTACAGGAATTGTACACGAAGCCAATAGTATTCCTATAAAATGAACTTCGACGACAGCATCTTATCAGTAAATTAAGATACCACGTACTTCAGTAGACCGTTGAATCATGTGCGAATTAAACATGTTGTGGTTGGTAAATGCGCATTGTCATCCTAACGAATGTCTTGATAAAATTAACCTCATTTTTCATAAAATGTTTCCCAATTAATATATTTTCACTGTTTACTTCACTACTTAAGTCTAATACGTATTTCACTCTTCGTGTTTCTCTTAATTTTTTTAAAAGCGATGTTTCTCATATTCTAAGTACCTATGAAGCTGTTACAAGATATACTTAAGTAGTTCTATTATTATACAAACAACTATAAAAAGTAATGCACACGTTCTACATTTACATGTAGCACGCAATGTGTTACAGTTAATCCCGTCAATGTGCACCCTCAATTTTGGTTTAGTTTGGCATGCAGTGCGATCGCTTCCACTACGTTTTGGCTAAGTTTTATTTCAGCCTGTTGCTTATTCTGTGCTTAGGTCTAAATATAGATGATCGCTAATGGACCACACTTTATAGAGTTGAAGTAAGGCTTCGTATTGTTGGGACTTTCCTCGAGCTGTACGGGCTTGTAAACGGGGTTCTCAGACAGCAGCCATATGGCGTTGCTCTTACCCAGGCACATTGAATCGTGTGAAGTTTTCTTTTGTCGTCATTCTTTCACTGTATAACTGATATACATGATTAACGTTCAACAACAACTAAAGATAACAGTGCACCTTGCGTGATTTCTTTTAATTCCACCATATATGTTTACCACATTCGGATAGAGTTTTTTAAATATACTGTTAATTTCGATTAATGTTTAGTTTGTTTAGTGTAGCTACATTTTAGTATTTGGCTTTTGACATAGTGATATAAAATGTGGGGTTTTGGAGTTTTCGCGAGCTCCTTAAATGTTTTGTTTCTTGCCATACCTTTAGGGTAGGGTAGCTGAAGAACATTTCACTGGGCTTATGTTGTTATTGTAACTGCAATACCTTAATAGTAAACTATGCATAGGGATTAAGAAAAAGAAAATAATAAAAAATTACATCATTTTACTTTAGGCTGAGAGTAATGTAAGCTAGGACTAAACGTGGACGTTCGATATATAACCAACTACGATGGTATAACAAAGATGTTTTTTGTTACACAATCATGCTTTTACTTTCAGTTATTATTAACATTTAACTACGTTTCTATGGATTATGGTAAGTTTTTATTGTCTTATAGAAGAAATTCTATGGAGTTATTTTACGGTAATACTTTGAGCTCAGAACCACTAAATTTCTTGGTCAGGTCCAAATTGCTTTACACAGGTGTATGTATGGTACATCAGGTAGGGCCACTAAAACTGGTCGTCCTGGTTGAGTCATCGCTCGCGGTACCGCTATGTTGTTCTACCAACTGTCTCACGTTCACTGCTCTTTCTGCTTAAGGAGGTGATGTCATTATTCAGGACCTTTAGCGTTTCGCAAACAAATGGCGGGGCAAAAACAGGATACTGTCCACACGGAAAAACAGTGGTTTGTGATTATAGGGGTCTTTGACACTTTTCCCGTTGCTTTTTCCATTATAACACGATAGTTAGAAAAAATATGTTCCAAGCATACAAAAACACGTGTTATATAACTATATACATTGCATGTGTAATTTTTATAATTCCTAGACAGAGCCCATTAATTTGGAGAGTTTGCTTCAGTAACATTTCAGGCGGAATAAACACCAGTAAATTCCAGCTGCTGTAGTCCAAAAGGTAACTTAGTCTATAAGAATAGTTCCTAGTCAAGTGGACACGATGCTGCATGAGCACAGTAACAGGAATCAGTTAGTTGTGTACGCTTTACTTGACATCATTATTACAAAGTTTCTAAGATATCTTCCTAACAGGTAAAATTTTTGTCTTAAGTTATTAATTTCTGTACTGTTGTGGTGATTCACCCTTATTCAAGATCTACGTAAGACTTTGTTTAGGTTTGGAAAAAACAATTTTAACCACTGATTGACAAACAAATATGTCTACAATAAGTGATTGCAGGTTATCGAATAGTTTATCACATACGTTTGTGTTCCTTTCTTTCTTTTCACCAAAGGCTAAAAAGTATTCGATTCGACCAACTGGGATTTTTCTGAAGCAAGACAGACAAAAGAGGCTTAGTTATTTTGGAGTCATCAACAGGTATGAATGAGTACATTGTTTTCAAGGTTAGCCTAAAAATTTAGAAAACGAGTCAGTCAACAAAAATATGTAAGAATAAAAATATCAACCCTGTCACATACTTTCCAGTACTTGTCGCTAAAAATATATAAAAGTCTGTTTTGAAATTTAAAATTGATCAATATTTTTAAACTGAAGTAATGTCCTGTTTAGCTTTCATTTGCTCTTCTTTTTGGCTTCATAAGGACAATTAAACATTTAAGAAATCTTCCCAACTTGAAGTTGTTTTGAGCGAGTTAAAACATAAAAACTAAAGCTTCTCATGCAAGGACAAATACACACACACACACATGTAGAATATGGTGATTTGTGCAGTGGGCAGTGTATAATACGCTTCCAATTCTGTGAATAGTGTCGATAAATGGTAGCACAAAGCCCTCATGTTAAAATGTCAGCCTAAGAGGAAGTTATGTAGACAATCTAATATGACCCTAGTGATTTTTTCGCTTGACATGTTATGCGTATTCTGTTTCACGCAGAATTTCTGGCCATCCCTAATTAGGATTGTCTGCCTATATTTGAATTTTTCTAGAATAGTTAAAACTGTTGCTTTCTGCTGTCGTGAGTCATCATTTTTACACCTTGCCTAGTCTGCCTTCAGAAGTGGGCAGAATAGTCTGTGTCATGTGTACAGGAAGTTAACCCCTCCCCTATAACCTTGCTCTGGTTAGCTGTGTGCGTGCTTTGTACTTTCATTTCACTGATAAGTCTGTGCCCTTTTTATTACGCTGTCTAAATGCTGCGGTACTTGCTGAAATTTGGCTAATAGAATTAACATTGTATCATCTGTATGTAAAAATAGACTTGTAAGTTGTTGGTATAGCAGATCTTATATCATTCAAATAGGATACGATGTTGCATTATTACTCAACCAGAATCGAGCCTATGATCACGTTCCTGCTATGTACTAGTACTTTTGCTAATCCAGTTTCTATGACGTATTCTGTTTGTTGCTGGCTAACGTCACCTCAAAGAATATATAACACATGCATCTCTCACCCCACAACTTACTTAGGTGACGTTCGGCTGCTTGGTTTACCCAATGAACACGTGTTCGTCACGTTGAGTTTGATGTCTTGGTGGCTTTAGAAAATAGGAAATAAGGTGCAAGACATTTAATTACTTAGAATTTGTAAATATTATTATTTTCTTTGGAACTGTAAGAAGATGATATTAAACAAAGCTTTTAGATGTTGTTTGTCGCTACTATGAACATTTATTTTTTAGAGAAAAACACCCACATAGTTTCAGATAAAAATGCTTGTTAATTTGTACGACCCCACTCGATATCCCAATTCACTGTGTAAACAAACCGTGGCTCAAAACGTACAAGTATGATTGAGTCTTGACTTTTTATACATTTAGTGAAACGATTTTGAAGATAATCACTCTGCTTTCTACAAAGGATTGATAGTACGTTATATTAAAACAATTTTGAACATGAAAATTAGTAAGACACGTGACAACCACAGCCGATATAACGGAATCTATCATAATACATTTTGACGTTGTTTTACGTTCATGTGATCGCTTTTGGGAAGGGTATGTAACAGCCCATTCCTACGCAAGATATTCATACACACATATCATAATCACGTGCTCAGATCGAGGATTTAGAATTTCCAAGATGGAAATACGGGATATCTCTTGCACTTAATGGCATTGGAAAACAAAGAAATATGGATTAACCTGGGTAACCAGGACTATCCAGAAAGAGACCTGCAACACTCAATATTCCAGCCATGTGAGACATATTATAATAGGTGAGAATCCACAAACACAAAGGTCAGTGGCAAAAGCCCACATGCTCCAGGAAACGGTACGCAATATAGCGAAGAAAATCTCCGTCTGGAAATGAGGCCAACTAGATATGGATTCACCAAGATAAGGCTTCCAGTTATATCTCCCTTTCAACTGCAGCGCACTTCAAGCAGCTGGAGAATTCATGTTATTTCATACAAAGATATACAGGTCAAGTTGCCAGTCGCAACGCTTATGGGTTTCTGTTTGATCGGAACATTGAAAAGGGTGCTGGGAAATTGTCATACTTATATACTAGGTAGATTATAGAAAGCAGCAGGGAGGAGTGGTTTGCATAGGATATAATAACCTCACGTCAGAGCCATAAGCTGCAGGCTATTGTCGATATACATGGTCGTTTTAATCTGACATATAGTTTAATGATCAATGCCAAGTGAGGTAATAATGTTATTAACTATAATCTATATACTTCTACGTATCTTTGTATTTTATTTTTCATTTATTAATGTGTGATAATTTTAATTGCAGATAGTCCCTCTTCGACATAAATAATTATGTTTTATGCATGTATGTAGTTACAACTCTAGTATACAGCCTTCAGAAGTATTTGATAGATTTAGTATTGTTGTTCTGTTTTGTTTTGTTTTGTTTTAACAGGCATTTGGATAGTGATCAACCCTGTGTTGTGGCGGATGTGGCTTAATGACTAGTTTGCGTCCCGTTGCTGCAAAGACAATCAAAAATCGTTCTCTGCACTTTGGGGCTGTTGGTGCGTTATGAAAGAAATGGCCAAATTCTACTTTTTGACAAGAGTATCTTAAAAGTTGGCACTGGGTGCTATTGACTAATTGCCTTCCCTCTAGTTTACCAGTTCAAAATTAGGGACGGCTAGCGTATATATCCCTCATGTAGCTTTAAGCAAATATCTGAAACAAACCAAACCCACCTGTGTATAGTGTCCCCATCTGGTGACAGATATTAGGGTTACAATATTGAAATATTTTATTATTATTTTTATTAATAAAGGCAGGGAAGATTACTAACAGCATATATTTTAAAGCATTGTAAAGCTAATATCTGGGTATACCAAGCTTAAAACTTCAGTAATGTAAAAAGAGATTTTGAAAAATCTGAAAAATATTGTTCACTGGGAAAAACATTATTTTCTCAAGATATGATAGCAAGCTTCACTCTATAAAATAATAAAACTTTGAGATTAAACTTTTTTAGTTTGTTTGTTTGTTTCGGATTTCGTGCAAAGCTACACGAGGGCTATCTACGCTAGCCGTCCATAATTTAGCAGTGTAAGACTAGAAGGAAGGCAGCTAGTCATCATCACCCACCGCCAACTCTTGGCCTACTGTTTTACCAACGAATAATGAGATTGACCGTAACATTGTAACGCCCCCCACGCCTGAAAGAGCGAGCATGTTTGGTGTGACGGGGACTCGAACCCGCGACTCACAAATTGCGAGTCGAGCGACCTAACCACCTGGCCATGCTGGGCCGATTTTGTTGTTGTTGTATCATCTCAAAGTGAACATGATGTGCGTTTCTGGTATTGTAACAACCCCTTCCTCTGTTTGAAACTCTTTCCGTACTCCGAATATATAGGCTAAGATTTAGCTGCAAAATGTTGCAATACGTGGCGCTTAGGCAAATGACGTTAGATTTTTTATTATGCAAACTAATATGACTCGCTTAACAAATTCTCGAACAAAAAAATAAGATGATCAACCATAAAAAGGTTTGTAAAAGAATGACATCGCTGTATTCACTACAAGATTAAGGTGAATGCAAACAATATTTAATACATTTTACATTAATACATTAATACCACTTATTTTTCTCGTCCTAACAGGAGTATTTTCATTCGGGTTCAGAGGGTTTAAGTCATTTTTAATTACTTTTTAAGGCGTATCTCACATGATTTATATAGAAGTTATTATGGGTTGTTCCTGTTTTACTTGTATTAATGGGTTACGTTTGGGCCCTAAGGACTTAGTTTAGAGTTCGAGATTTCACCCACTGTATATGGACTAAAGCAGAAAGAAGTGAAAGCCAGGCTTAGATTTTAACCAGTTTATCACTAAGTATGGTAGTGCTTAGTATGTCGGGATGGGCCAGGAAAAAATGGCCGCCGCCTATTACGTATTGCTCATCACAGTCTCAAATCTCTTATAACAGTCTAAGAAACTTTTATAAACACCTACCTTAGGTTTTTTTTCGAGGTTTTCTAAAGCTATTAAGACCTTCAGTTTAACCAAAAAACATCGCTAAAGTTGAGAACCGGCGAGTAACGTAACAACCAAATGTTCTGGTAATTATTCTGATTCTGGCATCAGAAGGGCTAGTAGCTCACCGATGCTTGAAGTTGTTGTGATAATTTACTCACCAAAATGTTGCATTTTAACTTGGGGAGTACAGAAGCAGTATAGCGTTTCACTAACTTCAACACATGATGTCCATCAAGACAACTCATCATGCCAGGCTAAATCTACTGCCTTCATAGCAACTGTCATTCACTAATGTTGATTGTTTTAAAAAGAAAGGAAACAAGTAATAAAATCTTTTTTGAAAAATATAAGGATGACGTAGGGATGGCAATGCCAAAAAAATACATAAACAAGGTAGGTATGAATACTCAAAACCATACAAGAATCCCTACATAAGTAGCCACTATGTCAATGCTACAAGCTTATGGGAATTAGGCATTGTAAGACTTTATAGTATTATTCAATTTAAGTGCTTTTCTTCAAACCCGAATTCATGCAAATGAAAGGAATTCAACATTTAGTTGTAGATAAAAGTTTTTCTTTAAAAGATTTAGCTACTTATGAAAGGGTTTTTGTATGGTTTTGTGTATTCATACCTACCTTTTTTCTATACTTTTTGTCATTGCCATCCCTACATCATCCTTATTTTTTCAAAATTAGTTTTTTATTACTTGTATGTGTGTATCTTCGCTGTCGATGATCAAGTAATAATTTCTATATATGGTTGTCTTTTGATCAACAGATGCATCAATGGATGAACAAGAAACTCTGCCATCCGATGAATATCCTCCTGTTTTTGAGGAAGAATGTTCTTCGGTAGCTAGTCAGGATCGGCCAGTGCGATCACGTCTTCAAGAATCCATGGACAGTGGCTACGAGGCTTCACCGGCCAGTAATAGCTGTCAGGAAATATTCAATTTCACAATGGATGATTCTACAGAGGCGTATCTTCCTGATAACCGTCCGTGTCAGGCTGTTGTGGGTGACCAGTGGTCAGATATTGGTAACCATGGAGACTCTATTTCCCATGAACTTGGTCTTTGTGGACAAGATAGCCAAACTTGTGTTTGTGGTTATGGGAAAGATCAAACTAATTTTTCCTTGTTTTCCTGTAGTTCCCATGTTATCAGCAGAGAGAACACTGAGGACCAGGAGTCTCCTAATTCCTTAAGTCATTCTGTTCCGATCGTTGTGCGTCGAAATACTTCTGGAAGTGATCCAACCAGGGACATTCTCTGGTCATCTGAAATAGTCATACGACCTGGTTCCTATCCACGTGATCGTCTTCAGTTACTTCCTGATTTTGGTCCGCCTGTATCATCTCCTCGTCTCCTTCAGTCCGAGAATCACCAAACCCATTTCGTCCACAATCGATATGATTGGACTGTCGGTGAAGGTCCGAATCCTCAAAGTGGAAACCAAACTATTTCGGTTGCAACTCAAACAAATTTTGAGATTCTACCTTATGATGATCACTTATTTGGATCTGCTGGAACTTCGAATGGTAAGAACATTTTTCCTTATATTGCGTAAAGAATTAGAAATTATTTAATGCCTTGTATTGATGTTTATCTTAACGTTATTCCTTCTAATAATAGACTGAGATGTGCCTTAATAAACCTTTGCCAGTGGCACAGCGGAATGTCTGCAGGCTTATAACACTAGAAACGTAGTTTCGATACCCGATTTTTAGTGTTATAAGCCCTCAGACTTCGCTTAGCCTCGAGAGCTCTAAGGATAAAAAATAGGTGTTAGATGTTTTCTGTTTTCCAGTTAGTATTAAACCTTTTGTTTTGGTATAAAACGAATGTCGACAGTGTGTTCCGAATAAATGTTTTTGCACATAGTTTTATGAACCTAAAAAAAGACAATGAATCATATGGTCAGGAAGGTCTTACTGCTCATTACTGTAGTCGTAGTTTTATCTTGGTCTTGGCTTCTAGCCACTTGAAATCACAATACATGTGTTACCATCAAGCAGTGTCTGATTTGTTAAAATGGCTTCGTGCCAAGATTTTAAATTCACGTGCATCGCATGCCACGATTAAGGTTTATGTTAAACGTCCAACCTGTAGCTTAGTTGCCCGGGCTGGAACAATTGTTTTGTAGAACCTAGGCTTGCACGTGTGACGGCTCCCGTAGCTGTTCCACATCGTGTTGCTACCGGACCAGCAGGGCTCAACTGAGTCATGCAATAGCAGTAACAATAACCTACTAACCCATCATGACCAATACGAAATAAGGCTATGGACCCTAACTGTTCTTCTTTACTCACACTTTCACGGTTAAAATGTTTTGAGTCAGCACCACAGTTGTCATGCAGGTGTTCAGGGTCAGTTTTTGTGAGTTCGAGCTGAGACTACTACAGACAGTAAACCGTAATGCACTGGTAACCACGGTAACCTGACGTCACCTTCTGCACGTTATTGTAATATAATGATAATCGCCGAGTCTTGTCGTCGTCTATTTGAAAATTACTTTCCTTCTTTTCTGTTTTATTTTGTTTCTAGAGGTAGACCTCTTTCATTGTTGATAATGTTGTGCAAAAAAAAATTTAAAATATTGCTGCAAACTTAAGAGGTAATTTTATACACTTACCTGCCTCCAAACTTCTGGTATAGAAAAAAGAGAAAACACTGCACAAATAGTTTTAGCTTTTTCTATTTACCTAAGTTATTTTTCCTAGAATTGTTTTACCTTACGTTCTTTTTCAAAGAATTTATTTTCCCAGAAGTATTTGAGTGCTTCATAAAGTTTTTCTAATCATGCTAAAGGTGAAGGAAAGAAAAGCCACCGAAAAATCATTTTTTTGAACCATTTTCATTGTTTGAGTTTGTTTGTTTGCTTTGATGTTAAACAGAAAGCTACACAATGGGCTATCTGTGCTGTGCCCACCACAACCATCTAAACCCGATTTTAAATGTTATGAGCCTTCAGGTTTGTCGCAGAGTCTCTGGTAGGGGGGTGTTGTTGTTTGAGAGGAGTACGTACAAAAATTTTGTGCTACTAATTAAGTTTACTGGAAAAGAAGAAATTACCATAAAGATTTTCTAATAAACGAAAATTCAAATATAAGAATATATATACATCAAAACATATCTACAGAACGCGAATATCTACCACAGTACATATCATGTTAAAAGTTGTTAGCTATCTTGCAGCGTGTGTAGAACCTTGGCACAAGGCCCAATAGCCGTGCTGATCTCTATCTGTTTCTACGTAATGTTCTGCATTCAGAAACTGTTACAGAAATCTGTTTTAATAAATGCACGTGTATAGAGGACATTCACAAACAATGTACAGTTTTCTATATTTCGAAGATCTTTCACTACTTGAGAGTGAGTATACTTGTGACAGATTCCCACTGCAGTAGAGGAGCGAGTTTTCCTCCATCGAATAGCATATATATATAGTTATTTATACATACTCTGAGTTTTAGTTCACGTGCAGTAACACACCATGAGGAAGGAGGTTGCGCCCCTCCCCCTGCTCAGCTGTTTGGTACTAGTTTTCTCCACAACATGGCCGCAGGCGTCCCGGGCTTTGATGGGGATAGGGAGGGGATAGAATATCCCGCTAGGCTACAGGACGTCGTCTTACTATTTGTAAATAAGGCGGGTAACGAAATCTGACGTTACCAAAGAAACAAAGTTTTAGGTTCGTAATAAATTCAGCGAATGTAATTTTTCTATGTTATATGGAAATTACATTCAAACTTCGGACTTTAATGATTACTATATTATCGTTATTTTTCATTTTTATTTCGTTTATCGCTGAGGCGTTTAATCACGTTGTAGCTTAACTGCTTTGGATTACGCAATAGTATTGTCTTTTGTTTCTCGTAAACGTAATGTAGAATGTATATTAAGAAATCTTTTTTTTTTCGAGAGGCTTGTCATCGTTCAGAGTGAAAGTCGTATAATTTGTACAGACATGTTTTCTTTTTATTTCAGATTGAATATATCATCGTTAATCTTTCATAATCCTTTTAATATAACAGAATAAATAAAGCAAAAAGAGAAAAACTGAACTGTTTTACTTGCAAGATCCAAGGAGAATTTTAATATAAGCGGAGATAAATCAAACTCAAAAATGGAAAAGACAAAATATCTCCATGTTCATTTCACCGTCAGTACAAAGTTGTAGTTTCATGCGCAATGCATACGTACAGTCATGGATCAGATAATTTGCGCTTTTCCAAGAACTAGTTTTAATACTTAGATCCACAGCTCATAATCGAGCATCAGTAAAGTTGTATACATGTTTTTAATCGATAATCGTATTTTAAATTGCCTCATTTATACTAGGTATCTTATTTGTTTATGTCAGCCATGTTATAATCTTTCAAACTGCTCATGGACATGACGAAATGTTTCGAATAAAATGTATTGGATAAATTATAGTTTTTCATCTACAATAAACAAAGGAAACTTATAATGATCTTGTACAGAATACTATACATACTGCCTCAGTCGTTTCGAACTTGTAAGATGGTAATTATGCACATACGATTCTGGAATTTATTATTACACATAGCTGCAACCTGAATTTTAAAAGCATTGTTGCCTACGGGTATCACCAGGCGACGCCAAGGCCACTGTTGGCGCCGCCACTGGCCGGGCAATCGGGGACTTTGGCCTTTCGACAGCCTATCTAAAGTCAAGGTAATGTAACACGTAAAGTTTTTACTTTTGAACGCTCGAAGACACGGTTGTTGTCTGATTGCTATCAAGGAAATGTTTTTTCTTTCTGTTTTTATTTTTTGTCTGTGGTAGCTTCATATGATGTCGTTTATCAGTAATAAAAAAGCTCGGCATCAAGTTGTCTGGTTTACTAAAGTAGACAGTGTCTTTACCAGGCTTCACTTCCAACAATTTAATTGTATGGAAATGAAGAAAGGGAGAAAATGTTCCAAGATTAATGTATTACCAAGAACATTAATAACATAATTATCTGTCTCTTGTTAAAACTAAAGAAAGGTCCACATTCAAGGCAAGCTTTGAGCTGTTACCACATATAAGCCATTGATGCTGTGCAGACCTTGACGTGCTCTTTTTTCATGTTTTTATTTCAAATTGTGCTGATAAATTAATCCAAATAACTCGTGAGAACAGACAAAACCAACTAACTCAAAACAAGAAAGGTTGGGGGGGGGGGATTCACGGATAACCATTTAGGGAGAAAAAATCAGATTAAAATGAAATTTGGTGGTAAAATGTATAAAAGGTATATATATATATGTAGAACTTACAATTAAATGTGCTCATCAGAAGCCACAACCTAACAACAATGTTTTTTTTTACTAATTGCCTAAATATGGCTTAGTTCCCGCCCCAACTTTTGGAACATCGCCGTCCCTGTTGATTTGGCGGGAGCTAACTTACTACGAAATTGATTAATACATTTTTGGGTGCTGAGTTTTAAAAGCTATACCTCCGTACCAACAAGTAAAAAAAAAAAAAAAGTAAATAATGATCAATATATATATATATATATATTGTTAATAATTCTTGCAAATACACAACTATAAATATTTATATCGGCACTTGTGTATAAGTTTAAAATACTATATATATACAACGTTAAAATCAATAGACTTTGTATATTTATTGTTTTAATACACAACTAGTTTTACCATAAGATTTGATATCAAACTCTATACTGGTTATCTTAAAACTGTAAGTAAAATATTCATTTAATTTTCTATGCTCTTATTAACCTTCTTATACTTTCATTTAATCTTCTACGCTCTTATTAACCTTCTTATACTTTCATTTAATCTTCTACGCTCTCATTAACCTACTTACACGTTCATTTAATCTTCTACGCTCTCATTAATCTTCTTACACTTTCATTTAATCTTCTACGCTCTCATTAACCTTCTTACACTTTCATTTAATCTTCTACGCTCTCATTAACTTTCATTTAATCTTCTATGCTCTCATTAACTTTCATTTAATCTTCTATGCTCTCATTAACCTTCTTACACTTTCATTTAATCTTCTACGCTCTCATTAATTTTCATATACTTTCATTTAATCTTCTACGCTCTCATTAACCTTCTTACACTTTCATTTAATCTTCCTTGCTCTCATTAACTTTCATACACTTTCATTTAATCTTCTACGCTCTCATTAACTTTCATTAAGCTTACACTTTTATTTATTTTCGTGCACTTTCATTGAGTTTTCTATACTGTCATAAACTTTCGTACACTTTTCTTTAATTTATTACCCTTTATTTAAGTTTCCTACATTTTAATTAATTTTTTAAACGTTCATTTATTTTTCTTTACTTTTGAGTTTTCTGTTCTTTCGTTAAGTTTCTTACGATTACATAAATTTTCTTACACTTTCATATAATTTTCTACACCTCACTACGTTCCCTACACTTTCAATTTTTCTTTACCTTTAAGTTTCATCACAGTATAGTTTCTTTTAACAAATATGTTCTAACCCTATCATCAAAAATAATAAAACATAGCATGAAGACCAAATAAAACTG